TTTTACTACTGTTTTCTCTTACATTTACTTAAAAGTTAACCTTGCACTCTAAATCTCTATATAGGGGAGGCTTAAAGGATGGAGAGAAGCACAGAGCTGTATTTGCATATTAGTTTACATATGACTTCTTATCAAAGCATGGAGTAGTTATAAATGAGATAACTGGAGTATTGTAGGGTTAATGCTCTCTCAAATTCTCCCATGGTTGCCACTACTATTCCTAAGCAATATCTGTAAAAATCAATGTAATAATCCATTAGTGATATATTTTTATAGTCATTAAAATAAAAATGTTTATACATCACCTACAATCTTGAATTGTACTAGGAATTATACATAGCATGCTTTAGAAGCTACTGTTGTAGAAGATTTAAGATATGTACAGAAATAGCTGACTTGAGAAAGTGCTAACAGCCATTAATTGCTGTGAGCAAGGTATAAACAAATCACAAAGATTCAATGAGAGAGAAATGAGTTCAAGGAACAAAAAATGTACTTATATCACACAGGTGCTTACACTGAACAAATATGACAGGGCTTTGGCAAACTCTGCTTCCATGGACTCTGCCGAAAGCCATTATTAATGCTTCCTCTCCTACCTCATCTTATCCCATAAAACATCTGTTTGTTTAAAAAGAAACTGTATACTAACTCTTCAACTACAAGTTAAAAATCATGACTTTTCTTTCAAGGGGAAGAAGAATGGAGAATAAACATGCCTTCTGCAATTTTACTAAAAAATTCCAATGTTAATTAAAACCATATATTTAGTATGGATAAAGGTAATAAATGGGGATGTCTTGGACAAAACCATGCTCCTCTGTGAATTCAAATTAGTGATGCTGTGTTACTGGCTGACTTTTGAACATTCTGTTCTATTTGAAACAGCTGAACCAGGAAGGAAGCCTGTATGTCCTACAGAAACCCAATTAGGCTTGATGAAAGAGAGGCCATGAAATGCTTTTCTTGTCTACCAAGACAGAGAAAATGTTGTGTTAGATTCAGCTTTGAAATGAATTCTAAATATAAGCTTTTAGATCAGGCTTTGTCCAGTTAGCTTGGTCAACTTGACAATATTACATTTGATGCTCTCACAATTGGGGATGATGGTCCTGCTCAAAATCCTGACAGGCTTCTAGAAAGCTGATCCTTTTTGTTCTGGTGATTGCCACAGGAATAAACAGAGGAGATGGCTCTAGGCTTGGAGTGATTGAAAGAGAACCTGACTTGCCCACTTCCTGCTAACCCTTCCCTACACCAGCAGTGTGGTCATGTTGGATATTTCATTACCTTCTTACAACAGCAACAACATAAGAGAAGCCAGCTGCCAACACAGTCTGCTATTCCAACAGTTATTTGTCTGTCAACAGGAATATAATAAGAATCTACAACTGAAATTCTAATAGTGATCCTCTCCCAAACTGAGATGTGGATAAATGTTTTCTTGTGCCTTGTCAGTACGAACCTCTTTTCAAAAGACTCTTGAGCATCTTTCTTTCCTCTGAACCCCCAATGCAGTTTACTGGGGCCACTTTTATGGGACTATCTTTATAGCATTTAGCCCTTTTCTTTTTTGTGCCACAGTAATTTGTATGAAGGATTTAAATTCCTAAGGGTTGGTAATGTTTTTTCTTATTGTGCCATTCTCTTGAGCTCCTAGCACAGTGCCTTGATTTGCATTAGAAATCCAATAAATGTTTGATGAATTCTGTGTTTAGAAAAACAACAACAAAAATATGAATGTTGTCCAATTACAACAAAAAAAAAATCAGAGATTTTTGCTTCATTTTGTTCACTGACGTGAGTCCCATGCACCTAGAAAGTTCTTGGCACACAGCTGACACTCAATAAATATTTGCTGAATGAATAAGTATTATGACTTTCCAAAGAGCTTGGAGAGTATCTATTTGATTGGCAAATACAGAAAAGGAAATATGTCACATAATGTGTAAAGGAAGAAGTAGATTAGTGATTTCTTCTTCCTCTAGACCAGAGGTTGGAAAACATTTTCTATAGAGGGCCAGACAGTAAATATTTTAATCTTTGTGGGCCATATGGTTTCTGTAGCAGCTATTCAACTCTACTGTTCAGTGCAAAAGCAGCCAAAGACAATATGTGAATAAATGAGTGTGGTTGTATTACAATAAAACTTTATTTACAAAAATAGTTGGCAGGCAAGATTGGACCCATGAGTAGTTTGCCAACCTCTGCTCTAGAGCACCTGTGTCTGTTAGAATTAAGATAACTAGGTAAATATTCTCTCCTTTAATACCATGCTTTCTGCATCTTTACACATTTGTTCCCCAACCGCACACCCACAGGTACTGTGATTTGCAACATGGTAGCTGTACAATATATGTTTGTTGCATTAAACTGAGTTTTACACTGATTTCCTGGAACTGTAGTTTTCAGTAGAACCAGTTAACTCAAGTCCCTGTAATTTGCCTTTTCTTTGAATTCTGTCTTAGCAAATGTGGGGAAAGTTAATAGCTACTGAAATAATGTCTTCTGAAACTGATGGAGTAAGGGGCACATTCTCTCTTGAGTTCCTGTTTCTCTTATTTGAAGTATTTTCTTCAGGATGTCAATGAGGTATCATAGCTGGCTCTTCTGATTATCCATGAAGACAAGAAATGACTAACACAACTTTCTCATTACTCATTTAAGCTCACTGTTCTTTTAAAGCTGCCTTCTCTCTCAGTCTTTTTTAAAAACTTATTTTCATGAAAGGAGTATGAGAAAATGACCACTGGTATCTACAATTGGCAAAAATGTGTTCCTATATTTTCCTCTCCAATGACTACCAAAAATGTTATATTCCTGTGAGTTTTACGTTAGATTACTATATTATTTCAGGCCAGAATCTGTGACATATGGTGATAGTAGATATATCCATTGCTGAAATGTATCTGTTTAAAAAATATTTAAGTAGTATTAATGTGGAACAACGCCATCATAAAATGTGTTCTGCAGCTCTATCCTATATTTGCACTATCTACTTGCAAAATTTTCAAGCTTATTTTTCATTTTGCTAAGTGCTGGCCCCTCTTATGAACTAGGCCTGATTCCCTCTTCAGCTGCAAATGTAATTTTAAAAAGAACTCCAATGAGATTACTTGCTGAACATGTTAAACATTCATAGCTTTGCCATATGCTGTTATGGAAATTGCATTGATTTATAGCAATTTGGGTGCCACTAGATAGCACTGATTCACCTGATACCAACTCTAAGTGTACTGGAAAATAATGTTTTAAATGTTTCATTTGCATCTAGACCTCTGTTGAACTAAGAGGCATGTACTATGTTTATGCATTTTCGGAGAACACTGATTTTTACATATTGAAAATATATTCCTGTATTTGGTGACTTCTAGAAAAAATTAGGTATATAAGGTCTAAACTCATACTGTCATGGCACAGTGGTCAATGACGTAAATTACTAAAGCCAGGCAGACTTAGGTTTTAATCCTGATTCAACCATTTAATTACTCTACAGCCTTGCTTTCTTCAATGGTATAAAGGAAAAACAGTCATGCTTATCTGAGAGGATTGACGTGAATATTAAATATGATAATGTATATAAGGCATGTAACACCTACAAAAAGAGAAATGTCTTGTGGTTTGTTCTAAAATATGCTCAGTAATCATTAGCTCTCGTAGCCTAAACTTTGTATTTCTGTTATAGATTAGCGGCACTCCTTTAAATGGTGGAGAAATGCTTGAGTTTGCAGGACCTGACTGGGAATGTTAGAAGATGATTTAGAGAACTTAAAAATTGCCATACGAGATAAGGTCACTACTATAGTGAATATACGGATCTATTAAAAACAAAGGTAAAAGGGAACAAAGTCACAGGATGTTCTCTTCACAGTAAGAGTATCAATAACCTGTCCTAATTGTGTTAATTTTTATTTGGAAGGGAGACAGTATAATGCTCATTTTAAGCATGCTAAGAAGGACTTATGAACACTGTCTTTATATCCACTGAGCATTCTATCCAATTACATTCAGAGGAGGAAAGACGCTTCTTAGAAATAATTATATTTCACAGTAATAAGTGAATATATACAGTGTAATGAATATTCATACATATTCAAGTTTGTAAGAACACAAAAAAGCCAGAAAACCCTTAGCTTTTTTGTAATTGACTTGGAGTGCACATTTGAATATAGATGGATTCTCTCTGGGTCAGCATTCTCAACAGAGGGCATCTTTGCCCTCCAGGGAACATTTGACAATGTCAGGAGACATTTTTGGATGTTACAACTTGAGATGGGAGATGTTACTGGCATCTAGTGCATACGTTTTAGGGATGCAACTAAATATACTGCAATGCATAAAACTGCCTCTACCACAATGAATTAACTGGCCCCAAATATCAAGAATGCCAAGGTTGAGAAACCCTGCTCTAAACTGAGAGCTGCCCAAGATCAAATGGATTTAAAATCACCCAGATCCCAGATGGATACTGGGTAGGCTCTAGAGAATGTATACTTTTTGTTAATATAGTTAAGTCTCCCCAGTGTCCTGTGCTGGCTCCATGGTAATGAAACAAAAGCTGAAGTATTAATACGGAGTTCATATCCCCTCTAGAAGAAAATGACTAGAATTCCAAAGTACAATATATTATCTGACCTACTGCAGACTTCAGTGTGGACAGCAGCTAGACTTATACATAGAAGAAGGTGAACATCACACTAAGACTTTGACCAAACAGTGACCAGGGGTTTCTTGGCTCTTAAGCAGCACCAGTTCCCGTGAACAAGTAACATAGCAAGCAGTGATGGCATAGACTTAAGGCTTAGTTCCCAGACAAAATGTGATAAGCACAAACTCTGGATTTTTATTCTCTATTTCCACAGAATTGAAAATCTATTTAATATATCAAGGAAAATATTTTCTTTCACAAGTGCCCTTACACAAACAGAGGCTGCTTAAGAGGTTGTAGCCTTAAACATGGATACTACTTAAAGACTAAAAATGTATATAAAGAACATTACTTTGAAACTTTTGTTTCTGTACTTGATGTCATCTTGGTGATGCTGAAGAGAATTTCTGCGAACTCTGTATTTAGAGTATCTTCCATCAGTTCTCTCAGATGAACTGCAGGAATCCTGGGGAAAAAAGCAAAGGGTCTGAACTGGTAGATGAAAGAAAATCGGTGCTTGAAATTAGAGTAAGAAAGAGTCTCTATGTAGCTAAAAATGAAAATAAATAATTACAAAAATTTAGAGATATATAGGAGAATCACAGGCCACCATAGAGAAAGAAGGTTACATGCAGTGCCTCAAACCTGTAATCCCAGCACTTTAGGAGGCCAAGGTGGGAGGACTGCTCTACTCCAGGAGTTCGAGACCAGCCTGGGCAACATGATGAAACCTCACCTCTATAAAAAAATACAAAAACTAGTCAGATGTGGTGGTGCATGCCTGTAGTCCCAGCTACTCAGGAGGCTGAGGTGGGAGAAGGAGGATCGCTTGAGCCCAGGAGGCAGAGGTTGCAGTCAGATTGTGCTACTGCACTCCAGCCTGGGTGAAAGAGCAAGGCTCTGTCTTAAAAAAAAAAAAAAAAAGAAAAAGAAAAAGAAAAAGAAGAAAATTGTCACTGTGGATAAAACCATAAAAATACAATGCATCCTACAGTGGTTACCTGAATTCTTTTAATAACTAGTCCCTATGCCCATCTACAGTGACTGACACCCTTTAGAACAAGGTTCCAGCAGCAATGTACTGTCCAAAGATGTCATTAATGACACATGCCACATTTGGATGCTGTGTACTATCCCTTGGATTGGTACTTAGCGTCAATATATTCTTGTTTTAAAAAATTGCTACCTATAAAACTAGAGCTCTTTTACTTCACTTGTCCATAAACAACATCCTACCTTTTAACTATTATGTCATGTAGATTTTTAAATTTAAGGATAGCTCCTTTGCCTTTATGAACAGAAAAAGATTCAGGTAATAAAAAAAATTAAGAAAACAAAAATTTCCAGGGCCTGCCTTTTTTTCTTTCTTTTCTCTTCATTTCTTGTGGGAAGAAGGAACACAGCAAACAGTTACTCTAGACAATTATTTAGACATTTCTATTATTATTTAGGGAGAAATTAGAAAAACAATGAGGACAACTGATTTTGGTATGTAAAAAAAAATACATATAGGGATTTAGTATCCCTCAAAGTCACAAGAAACCTTAAACTTACTGAATCTTCAAGCTAGAAGGGGCATTAAAATTCCAAAGTTCTCATCCTTAGTATAAAAACAAAACAAAACAAAAACCTCTAAAAACTAGAGCCCAGGGAAGTTAAAATGATTTGCCCAGGGCTGGACAATTTGTGGCAGTTTGGACTTGGAACCCAATGCTACTCCCTTTCCACCTAATCAAAAATGTAATGTTTAAATGTGGAATTGTAGAGATAAAACTTTTTTTTTTTTTTTTTTTGAGACAGAGTCTCACTCTGTCACCCAGGCTAGAGTGCAATGGTGTGATCTCAGCTCACTGCAACCTCTGCCTCCTGGGTTCAAGCAATTTTCCTGCCCCAGCCTCCTGAGTATCTGGGATTACAGGCATGTGCCACCACAACTGGCTAATTTTGTATTTTTAGTAGAGATGGGGTTTTGCCATGTTGGTCAGGCTGGTCTTGAACTCCTGAACTCAGGTGGTCCGCCCACCTCAGCCTCCCAAAGTGCTGAGATGACAGGCGTGAGCCACCACGCCCGGCCAACAATTCTTTCAAAATAAATATGACCACATTTAAACAAGAATAAAGTCAGGCCATCCAAATAGGATAAGGTCTGTACTCACACTTAAAGTCACAGGCTATGGTCTATATATCAAGAAATACGTATATAGGAACCCAGAGATAATATTGTGCAAGTGCCTCGTCATATGAATGTGGACATATCTCCTGAGGCATTAAGTGATTTTTGTCTGGTGCATGAGTTTGGACCAGAACTTAGGTCTTTGTATTCTTGTTCACATCACACTGATTTTTAGAAAGTTTAAAGGGTTTGAATAAATATAATCTACATCTAATAATCTCAAGGCTTTATGTATTTCATTTAAGGCCATGTCTAGTCATTTTTGTTAAGTTGATTAAAATCAGCTCTTTGTAATCACATAGAGGACTTTAGAGTATATGTAGAATGGATATTAAGTTAAAAGCAACAGGGCGAAGCAGATGGGCTCTGCTGTTTTACACAGAATTAGATCCCACCTCCAGCTAGTTTATGGGCTCCAAGCTTCAGTGTCCTCATCTATAAAATGGGCAAAAATAATACCCATCTATAGGGTATCTCTGAAGATTAGGAAACATGTACCATAAAGTACTTAGCACCTGCTAAGTATCATGCAGTGTGTGCATAACACTTGCTAATTAACTCTTTCCCTTTTCAAGCTAAAGGTTCCAATTTTAATACATTGGAAAGTACAATGCTGAACTCTGAAAAAGACTTTCCCCCAAAATTTCACTATTTAGGCATCTTCATATGTGAGTCTGTATGTATATGAGCTAGACTTGTAGATGATCACCAGCTCACAGGATTAAAAATAATAATAATGAGCCTTTTGGTAATAGTAGAGAATACAACTTTTAAACTGTACTTATGAACATTCAGTTCATTGTAGACAACTGGGGCAAAAGTGATCTGTCACTGGAGGTTACACTTTATATTTTTATGCTGGTATTAGACAGGTGTCTATTTCTCAGTGACGAGGGCCACCTGTTTCCCATACTTTCTCTTGTCTCTCCTTCATTTACTTGGATAATTTCTGTTAGCTACAGAGAAAAAACAAAAAGAATATGGATATAACATATTGCCTCCTATCACATTGGGTTGTTTAAGAGTAAACAGAAATTGCATTGTTTTGGATACTGGTTTCATAATTCTTTGATAGATATTTAAACTGCAAATATATAATCAAATCATAAGAAAGAATCAAAACTTAGTAAAATATATTTGAAACACTTGGTTTTGTTTAATTTGGGATAGTCTAGCATTGTAGATGTGTCAGCTAAACTGGATCTCACTCAAAAATGTTAGTTACTGAACTACCAAAAGATGCTTAATGCAAGGTAATTTTAAGGTAGTGTAGACCTGGGGAACCACATTATATCAATGCTTCCAATAAATCAATATGGCGTGATCTGGCTATTTTCCTATCCACTGTATCTTCAAATAATATGTCAGATCTAAACAGAACCTAAAGATAACATAAGTCATATTTTAAGGTCAATGTGAAATATGATTACATGGTTGCCAAAAAGAAATCCTTCCCATTGTTAGCTTCAGCTATACACAGTCAATAAATTATAAATCATTAAAATTTTACATTGCATCTGCAGCCCTAAGGCTATATATGACATTCTCGGGACCAGACCTTGTCCGGCAGGACTGGCAACAGAGATATTTGTTTTGAATATCTCCTCTATGAGGAATTTAAAAAATTACACAAGGTAAATTAACACATGTAACAAATTGGCTTGATAATGAAATGCTTTGTGGTTAGAGGTCTATCAATAAATGGCCATGAAATATGAAATGTGAAATTTATGTGGGTTTGAGTTCATATGTCATAGTATAAAGATAACCTGGGAACTACCATATGTCTAAAACAAACAGTACCCATATAATTCACAAATTAAAACTGCTAATCAAAAAAGTTACCTACTGTCAGTGTAATGTGTAACTCCCTTTAATTCTTAGGCTTTTCTAAATTATTGTTAAAGCTTTAGGGGCCCAACTGAGCGTCTAGTAGTACAGTAAAAGTATCTTCCTATCTTGTGCTAATATATAAGTTGCATTGTTTTCAATTCTAACTTCACAAATGTCAATAAACTCTGATAAGGTGGTATGTTAAAAGTCCCCAATGTTTTTTAGTCCTTCTTCCTTCACTATACTTTTCTTTGCACATCAGGAAGATGTCAAGTGTTCTCACTCAGATAAAATACTGAAAGAGACAAGCCAACTCTTTCTTACTCTGAAGTCTTTGAAATCTTCTAGTAGGCTCAGTTTCTCAGGCACAGACTCCAGATGGTCCAAGGCCACTCGGGTACTCTGAAATAGAAAACATAAGGAAACCAAACGTTATAAAAAATTGATTAATACTCTCAGAATCCACATACTAAAAATCAGATGCACCACTGGAAGAAGCAGTTCAAGCTGTAGATTTAGACAGTCAAATAAGAACATACATAATAGTGTTTCCAAGATAAGTGTATCTTTTGAAATCAGAAGAATTATTTCCTTTCAAAAAGTATATGAGATGCATTTGCAAGACTGATTCAGATACAAAAATTCTTCCTGGATAATTGCTTTCAACTGATATGCTATGAAACTTTCTATAGACTATTCCATATTAATATTAATTTACAAACCTGCTTCAGTGAACATCAGAAATAAACCATGAGGTAATACTGAGAAATAGATGAATCTGCAGTTACTTATCTATGGAGCATATTAGAGATTCTCAAATGTTGCCATTATAAAGAAGAAAAGAGTTCTCGGCAATTATTTCAGTTAAAAGGGAAGGAGGAGTGATTTGGAAGAAATATCTGAAATTAAACATTTGCTTCAGGGACACAAGATCCTGTTGATCATATGTCAGTAACTTATTACATAGTCTTTAATTAGCTGATCACTTACACCCACCTGTGAATATTAAGCGAGAATGATCTGAAAATTATTTCAAAGCAAACATAAAATAAAAAGTTAAATGGTAAAATAACCTTAAGACTAGAGACTGCATATATATTATAAGCATCTCTGTATTCTCAGTTCTGTCACAAGGCCACACATCTTAGGCGGGTAACAGGTGCTAGCTCTTATATTTAAAATGAATTTTAATTGTTCAATGAAATAAACCATAAACCCTATGGCTGACACATGGGAAGAAAGTGAAGTGTCCTGCAAGAAACTGGACATCAATTTACACAGAGTTGCAGAGAAGTAAGTGTCCCCTCAATATTCCATGTACTTCCCTACTTCTCCCCTGTGAAAGTTCTAAACAATGGATTCTGAGAGTGTCACTTCTGGAATGAGACAGTTGAACCTGAGCGTTCCCCCTTCTATCCCAGCCCCTGCCATGAGGACCCTGATGGCCACATGCTCCAAAAGGCATAACTACAAGATTAACATGAGAGCTGCCCACCATATTGGATTTCATGTGAGTCACACAATAACCTCTATTGTGTTAAGCCATAAGATTTCAGGGTTAGTTATCAATGCATCATATAGCATTAATTATTATAAATAATACCTACCCTGAGAATTAAATAATGAAATTGTAAGCTAAATAAGTAGTCAACTGGCTCATTTTGTGGAATGGGGAGTCTCTCAATTATGAATATGTATTTTTTTTTTCCGGAGACAGGGTCTCACTCTGTTGTCCAGGCTACAGTGCAAAGGCACATTCACAGCTCACTGCAGTGTCAACCTCCTGGGCTCAAGCGATCCTCCGACGTCAGCCTCTGAGGACCTGGGACTACCAGCATACACTACCATACCCAGATAATTCTTGTATATTTTTTTCTCGGGAGGAGTTCATTATTTTCTCAGTTAACTTTCCTATTTGAAATCTGCTATTTCCCCGAACAGAGAGATGCTGTTCTCTACCTGGCATATCCAATCCAGAGCCTCAATGATGCAGGTTCCCCCACAGAATATACTTTACGTCTTTCACAGGGTTCGGGGGTAGAGGCAGTTATGGAGACAGAGGGCTGAGGGTCTAACCCTTCCTTACAGACACTTTCAATGTACCCATCCACCCCCTCCTTCAACAGTAACTGTGCTGATTATTCCCATGCAAAAGCCTTCCCAGAATTTTGCAGGGTGAATGATCTTCGATTGCTTTCCATTGCTATCCCCTTGGCAGGTCCTTGAGTTTCACCTTGTCTGTTCCGAGTCATTTTACTACTTTTCAGTGTTCTGTGACTTGGAGTTACAGATGTCTTCTAGTTTTGACAACTGTAAATCAGTTTTTCTATTGCTTCATATCCTTATTTTTGTAATGAGATTTTTGAGAAGGCAGAAACACCTTAACTCTGCTATTCCGAAAAGGAAGTCCGCGTGCTGTTTCTTCAGGTTCATAAAGTTCTCTTTCTCAAGTTCCATTTAAAGGATTTAGTATTTTGTTCCTTCTGCTTTAACATTTATATTATTGTTAGTCTTTAGGCCACATGTACTCACTTACACTGCTGTGCGTTTTAGATGACTTTATTTAATTTTTTCATGTGTAGGAAAGATTCACCAAAGTGATGTGTTTCTTATAATAGGCCACGACATGTAGGCTTAGGAGTTTGCAGTTTTAGCCACTGTATATGCTATATTTATTTAAATAATAAAATTATAGGTTTTCTCAGGAATTATACTGACCCTTGAACAATAAAATACAAAGCAATGCCCTGATGATTTTAAGCCAAAATTTTATGCATTGCATAAAATCGTCTTCATAAACACACTCCAATAATATCTGTAGTATTAAAACTTTATTTCCTTTTTTTGTCCCATATTTTTCTCATTTAGAAGTGATCTTCTGAAGCAAGGTTAAGTAAGTACATAAAACTCATTTTGTGCTCAAAATAAGCAAATGATCTCTTGCCCTGCTGTAAAACGCAGCATGTTATGTAAATAGTTTTGCTTAAAATTTTCAATCAACCAGGTGACTACAAGAAACGATTCTTTTCCTTGCATGCGTTTACATACTATTTTTTGACTATTATGTTTTTGGATGTATATTCAAATGGCTATATTTTTGTGAGTGAATTTTGAAAAACTCCTTAACTCCTTCTGTTCTCGGTGCAGTTATTTTTATTCTCCCCTCCCTTGCCATCCCCCCCACCCCCATATCTCCATCAACCAATCTTTATACTTTCTCACTATTGATTTCACTTGTGGCTTATTTTATATTCCATTTATGCATTGCTTATAAATACCTTCCTCAATATCAAAAACACTTTCTGGTACACATACCTTTCTTTTCATCCTTATATTCTAGTCAATTAACAACAAATGTCTATCTTCGAGATCATAGAAAGATCCACAAACATAGACGGCATGGTTCCTGTTCCTCAGGAGCATTTAGCTTACCCAGGGGAGCAAAGGATGTAATAATTATACAAAGAAAAAAGTTATTTGTACTTATTTTAAGGGAATTGCATGCACAAATGCTGAACTAACTAGGGCATTTTCAACAACAAGATAGATGTGAAGTAATGAAGATGATGACTCCAATCCTACAGGCATCTCAGGTCTCATAATTTCATGATTAAGTGATTTTTTTGGGAGAAAAATATATTTTCTGGCTCTTCTCTCTCTTTCTCTGCATCTATGTGAGTGTACTTAAAACTGCCACTTTGGCATACAGACTCAAGAACATGAATAACATTGCAACTTTTTCCTTTTTTTAAAATTTAAGATTGGCTGGGATTCTGTGATTAGAATCTTGTCACATTACTTGAGATTTCAAAATTATTTTCACCCCAAAGCTCATAGCCAGAGAGACAAGATCCATTAGCAGATGAATAGTTCAAAATAAGGAACCTGCTGTATTTCAGAGATGTCATGAGGACCTATGTCATGTTAATTCCCAGGCAAATACTTTGTGCAGAGTCAGGGAAACATTTTGTTTTTTAAGTTGGTTAATTTTTTTTCTACCTTACGTTATCTAATGCCTTAAAGGGCATGGACAAGTCCCCACTGTTAAAAAATTAAGGGAGCAAAGTTTATTTCAATAATGTCACCAGCATATGACACATGCTTAATTTGTCTTTAATTCTTTTCAAGAATAAATAAATCAGATGCTTACAAAGGGGTTTAAAATTAGAAAGCAAAGAAAAGTTCACAATTAAGATTCCACTTCATAAAGGGCCAGTACATTGTATATATTTGATTTATCTCAGAGGCTAGAAGAGCTGGATTTCCAGGGACCTAGAAGTAGAGTCAAAACAGATGATCTGTTCATCTTAATCCTGTGTAGTAGCAAAACGAAAGACTGAACGATGAACACATAATTTGAGTTTGAATACACTTCATAATCCCTCACACCACCATATGAGGTAGGTACGTATTATTGTTATCATCATTATGCAGATGAGGCAACTGAGGACTGGAGAACGTGGATAACCTCCTTACAGTCAGATGGTGGCAAAGCTGTGATGCAAATCCAAGCAGCCGAAATGCAGAAACGGCAAGGTTCTTATTAGGAAAATATTTTCATGGCAAATTGCCAGCTAAAACAGACTATATTGCAACTAGAAGCCGAAGTAGTGAGTGCTTTATGTAAATCCCTAACCTCTCTCTAGCTATTAACTCTTAGCAGCTAGATTTTGAAGATGTGTCCTCGATAGGCTTATTTCTGAAAGAAAAGTTTTAAGATGAAACCATGAAGAATGTCATCTCACTGGTGTTAAAGAGTCTGTACTCAGGACCACGTGTCTAAACAGACTCTTGCGTAAGCAAACGCGCACGTGCACACACGCACACAGGTCTGGAGAGTCCGTCTGTTGATTAGAGGATGTTAAATGTCAGAGGAGTTTTATGACACTAACATTGCCTTTTCTTTTTTTCATAACATTTAACACTAGTGAAGCATACTATCTGGCCGCTAAGAGGTGTTTCAAATAAATGTTGGCTGAATGCAGACAAAGGTAGACTTACCATGCTCTAATAAACTCACTGAATCGTGACCTCTTTATTAAAAACCCAGAAGCACAAGTTTGAAGTTTTATTTATTTCTTCTAGACTAAGGGCAAGATCAAGTGGTAGAAGCAACAGTGAAATCCAGAAATCTTGTCTAATAGGCCCTGTGGCCTTTGCACCTACAGATGTGTTTGGCTATCTGTTGACAAGGGCCAAGAGTAAGCTCTCAGTTTTGCCATTCCAAAATCTTCAACAAACACTAAACTCCTATGAAGTTGAGCTGTCTGTACTGTTCCACAGTACATTTTTCCTTAGGAGTTCTTTTATTTCTGACTGCAGGGAAACTAAATAATATAGCATGACAACATAAGTAGCAGCAATTAGGAATTAAAAAGGGGAAATGCATTGCAATTCTTAGA